ACCGAATGTAATTCAAAAAGATTCAATGATTCTAAATTCAACGGCTAAGAAGATTTATACAAACTCTCATTCCCTATTTTATCCCCTTAGGGGTGGAATTTATCAAAATCCTTTCTAAGGAGATACCTATGTCATAGTAACTTTATGCATGCAAAGTCTCAGCCCGATCAATTTAAAACTGGCAAAGTATCATATAAACTTTCACCCCCAATTTGACCCACTTTGGGGTGAGAATGTTCAAAAACCTTTCTAAAGGGACGTTTACGTCATAACATCTATCTGCATGCCAAATTTCAACCCGATCGATTTAAAACTGACAATGTCTCATACAAACTTTCATCCCCTATTTTACCCACTTAGGGGTGGAAATTATCAAAATCCTTTCACAACGGATGCCTACGTCATAACATCTATCTGCATGCCAAATTTCAACCCGATCGATTTAAAACTGACAATGTCTCATACAAACTTTCATCCCCTATTTTACCCCCTTGGGGGTGGAAATTATCAAAATCCTTTCAAAGCGGATGCTTACGTCATAACATCTATCTGCATGCCAAATTTCAACCCGATCGGTTTAAAACTGACAAAGTTTCATACAAACTTTCATCCCCTATTTTACCCTCTTGGGGGTGGAAATTATCAAAATCCTTTCACATCGGATGCTTACGTCATAACATCTATCTGCATGCTAAATTACAACCCGATCGGTTTAAAACTGACAAAGCCTCATATAAACTTTCATCCCCTATTTTACCCCCTTGGGGGTGGAAATTATCAAAATCCTTTCACATCGGATGCTTACGTCATAACATCTATCTGCATACCAAATTTCAACCCGATCAGTTAAAAACTGACAAAGTTTCATACAAACTTTCATCCCCTTTTTTACCCCCTTGGGGGTGGAAATTATCAAAATCCTTTCTTAGCGGATGCCTACGTTATAACATCTATCTGTATGCCAAATTTTAGCCCAATCTGTCCAGCGGTTTGGGCTGTGCGTTGATAGATCACTATGTCAGTCAGTCAGTCAGTCAATCACCTTTGAATTTTATATATATAGATTACTTACATAAAGAAGTTATACTATTTAGGTATCTACCTATTGAGGTATCTATCTACATTTATGTGTACATGATTGTGCGCGATTGATAGAACTGATTTCAATGCGGTTTCCAGAGCCCAATTACCCCCTCTCCTTCCCCAATCTCCCCAATCTCTTTATCTCCAACGATCCTCAAACTCTTAGTCCCTAAGAGGCCGGTAACGCATTTGTAATGCCTCTGGTGTTCCAGGTATCCAAGGGCGACGCCGATTGTTTACCACCGTTTACCGGCTTATGTCATAAAATATTGTTTGTTACACTTAGGAGACAATTTCAGTAGGTATATTAATTTAATTGACTTCAATAAAAGAAGAACTTCAGTAGTCGGAGAATTTTTAACATCATTATTTTAACATTGGAACGGCAAATTCTATTGTGAATTTGTAAATATCAAGACCGCGTCATTGGCCAAATATTCATAAGTGTGACTGCCAAGCAAGAAATCTCAGCTTTGATTTCCGGGTTGCCTGCGTTCTGATGGGTCTAAAAGTGGCCTATGTGTTACAATTCCATGTTCCAGACCATTATGTACTCTGTTTCAAATGTCATCTCCATCCCTTCAGTCGTTTAGGCATGAAGGAGTAAAAAACACACACATACACACACACACACACACATACATCCTCACAAACTTACGCATTTATAATATTAATAGTAGGATAAATTAGGCTAGTAGTATTGTCTTAAAACACACGATAGATTATCTATTGTTCTTGCAGTTCGTGCCAAAACCACAATACTAGAGTAGCCATTATTGCCTATTACTCTGCACTCATCTCAATCGCTATTGTAGTCGATTCCGCCATGACAGTTTTGTATTGTCTTTGAAACTTTGTCTGTGTGAAGTGTTTAATGGTGTAATTTTTTCTTTTAATTTGTTTTTAAACGTTGCCCCACTCTAGGATTTTCTCCTGTGTCGTGGGTGCGTTTACAAACATACAATATCACATACACATGACACCCGGACCCGGAACAACAATCTGTGGATCACACAAAGAGTTGTTCCGTGCAGGAATCGAACCCATGACACGTTACGCAGCAGCCAGTTGCCCAGCCACCGGCACCGCGCCAACCCTGCAGTCACACGTTTTCAGTGCAGTACACATATTTGATGGGGCGACGTTTGACCACTATCTCGCCTGGTGGTGCGCGATGATGCGGTCTACGATGGAGCACGTCGTCCCATAAGCAACCTATTCACTCAGGCCTTGAAGACTCCCATACCCTTCAGGAAATACAAAGTCAAAGCATTTATTTCAATTAAACCATAGTTTGGTACTTTTGAAACGTCAACAAATACAAAGTAAATAATAGTCTGTCAGTCGGTCCGTCAGTGAAACTAGGTGAAGCTCGATTCGAATGGAGAAGAACGAGCAAGAAACTCCATTCGTACAGACTCTGGCAAACAATTCCACTCCTCAGCAGTACGCACAATGAAGCTTGATGCGAAGCGCTTCGTGCGTGTGGGTGGGACATCTACCTTGAATTGGTGACGCTTCGCCGATTGTCTTGTGGTACGATGATGGAAAGGACTAGGGGGAATCAAGTTTTGCAATTCACCCGCACACTCACTGAAATGTATGTGGTGGAAAACCGAAAGGCTTGCAAACTTTCGCCTGTGTTTGAAGGCTTTGAAGCCGGGTGTTCACAAGATCATCATCGTTGATGAGCCTCTTGGCACGTCTCTCAATGTGCTCTATTATTTAAAATAGATTTTTGTGGGTTTATATGTGGAGTTGTGTAAAGCATTATGTGAAATGGTAGATATGTGTACAGAGTCCAATTCTTAAGAGCGATAACCTCATCTGCCTCAACAGTCGCGTTTTCAGGGGTCTTGAGTTTGATTCCTAAATGTCAAGTAAAGAATAATTGAATTTTGTCCAAAGTTTCCCAGTAATAACGTGATCTTTTTGAGAAAAAGTGAAATACTAAATATATTATTCGGTAGCTCGAACAGCGATGAGAGCGTAGGACAGTCATCGACAAGACTACCTACCAAACCATTTTATGACCTCTGAATAGTGTAGATAAGAAATTTTAATTTTAAAATCCGTCTGGTAGAAAATTTTAGAACATATGACGCGTATTTTTTGTTTTCTTACAGAAACGAATACTTTTGACGATACATTGATTTGAAATATCGCGTGACGTCTCTTCTAGGGATGTTTTATACGTAGAAATGACGTTTTAGCTCCCGCTACTAAACTTTGATTCGTTTTATCCAAGTATTGTTTTATTATACGACAAAATAAAAAATACGTGTATAAAAGTTTTTCATTGCCTAACTGACGGACTAATTAGATTTTTAATTTTTATACCCATCCGCATCCAATATTATCTAACTTACCTGTAACTAGAAATAAGGGTGATAAACACCCTACTAAAAAAACAAAACACAATCCATCACTAACTTCAAAACTCTAGCATTTCTAAATAACACAAAGTGAACATAATAAATGATAATAAATACGCCTAAATCTTAAACTCTGAACTTCAAAGTATTATACCTTATTAAATTAAACATAAGATTTATTTTCCAACGTTTCAACAAAGTATGTGTTAATTTGAAAAGTTAAATTACTTGCTCAAAGTATGTACCTACCTGTATACCTATCTATGTATCTATGTATATACTGTAGTACATAGTCAGAAGACGATCGCTCACCTAATTATGTACTGCCTCCGACTGTGCGGCTAATTTTATTAATCTATTGGGTCATATTTTACACATTTTCTTTGGATGTTTTAGAAGTATGTCTTAGGGATTGTTAAACTATTCTAGAGCTAAAGTTTCTTATTTATTTAATTCATATCTTATACTATTATATAAAGCGGAAGAGTTTGTTTTTTTGTTTGTTTGTTTAAACGTGCTAATCTCCGTCACTACCAGAGGAGTAACAGGTGCGTTGCTGGCCTTTTAAAAATGAGTACGCTCTTTTCTTGAAGGTTTGAAGGTCGTATCGGTTCGGAAATACCGCCGACGACAGATCATTCCACAGTTTTGTTGTGCGAGCCAGGAAGCTACGTGAGAAGCGCACAGTTGTGGCCAGCCAACCATCTATGTGATGGGGATACATATGCTGTCGTGAGGGTCGATGGCGAAAAGATGCGGCAGGTATCAGGTCAAACAATTCCTCAGAGCACTCCCCGTGGTATAAGCGATAGAAATGCACAATAAAGCTACATCTCCACGCATTGCCAAAGTGTGATGTTCGATATTTGCATTTTACTTGCCTATGAGTATAAGTTAGTGAAAACATAACTCATTTAATACCTGCATCATAATTTTGAAATCACTCACCTCAAGGATCTCATCTCCGACTTTAACAGGTGGATTAGCTTTAGCAGCGGCGCCGGCCGGGTGCAAGCCGCACACGAACACGGCCATACGGCTCCGGTCCCGATGTCCGGCGAGACTGAGCCCCAGTCCGGCGCGCGGCGACCGTTCCAGCCGGACAGACACCACCGTGTCGCCCAGACCTGCATACTTCTTGCGGATTTTATCTGAAAAGAGGAGAAAGTTTGATTAAGTTAGAGTTCCAATTATGAATGCACCGTCTCGATTGGAACTGGTCAGCTCCAGACTGTATCATTTTATTTTATCAAGGTTATTTTCTTTTTCAGTCTTTCTGACTGGATTTAGGTGTTGCATTGTTCTCACATAATCGAACAAATGAAACTATGTAACTAGAGAATTGTATTATAAACCTGATTGAAAAAGTGTAACCTATGGAGTTTCTTGCTCGTTCTTCTCCATAGTAATCTACGCCTTGGAATGAGCAACTACATAGCTTCACTTATAAATTTTTGTTGTTTGACGTTCAAAAGTGCCATCCTGGTCTAATTGAAATAAATGATTTTCGCTTTGACTTTGACTTTGAATATGAAGACTGACCCGTAAACCGCCTCACCCAGGCGGGAGTAGTCATTCGATGATTTACCCCCTTAAAAAAAAGAAAAAAAGACTGCTTTAAACTCCTCACCCAAAGCGGGAAAAGTGATAGGATAATTTTCTTAGTCATCAATAACATAACATAACTTCACGCCTTTTATAGAAGGGATAAGCAGTGGTGCACATTACGGTACTTAATGCTACTGTACAAAGTAACCCCTGCTTTTCACTATTTATGTTATGAGTCCCATGTAATTGGGGGTGAGCCTATTACCATATACCGGGCAGAATTCCAGTCTCCGTGCTACTACTGAGAATTAAAAAAAATCCAGTTATACTTTGCCTTACCAGGGAATCCAACACGAGGCCCTTTGCCCGGCAGTCGCAATTGCGACCACTCGGCCAATGAGGCAGGCATTTTATTACTTTTTTTTTCACAAAATAGAACGTGACAATCATGTCGAATGCCAAACCGAACAATCACACAAGATCGCAATCTTATTAAAAACTATGAAACATCAATGACTAACAACACAAAACCTCCACTCGTCGTGGAACAAAAATGTCAAACAACAATCTCGAAATACCTCAGTCAACATACACACAAACAACATACATACATACATACATACATACATACAAACATACATACATACATACATATAAACATTGTTCTAATTCTAATCAAAGAAAACTAAAAATTGCATTGAATAGTTGACGCAATGTCTCTATAGACTAAACACTATTATGTGACCGTCCAAACACATACATACAGACAAACATAATGTAACATTATGCTTTGAATTCCTCGAAGGTGTAGGCAGAGGTGCAAATAACAATGTAATACTGGAAACCAGTCATGTTATCAAGTTCATGTATATGAGGACGTTGTTATAAATGGCCCCGTGTTTACATATACTGGGGTTTTTTGCGCAATTCCGGAATCAATTTTAAGACCCTACCTTTGACCCTTTGCATGTAAGTCCATCTAACTTGTCTATTACTAACCGAAATTATTAATCTCAATCTAAAACCTTTGGATCTGGATCTTAATTTTAGACAGAAATCCCATCCATCCTTACATACTTACTTCCTTACTTATATTATAAATTGGAAAGTGAGTTTGTTTGTTTGTTTGTTTGTTTGTTCCGCTTTCACGCCGTAACTACTAAGCCGATTGCTTTGAATTTTTGCAGACGTAAAGTTAGAAGTCCGGATTAAATAATAGAGTACTTTTTAACTCGGAAAAATTTGATATTCCCGAGGAAAAACAAAAGTATTGGTATAGATGGCGCTGTGTTTATGGTATGTGTTACATAGGCTACTTTTTATCCTTTTGTCACGCGAGCGAAGCCGTGGGTAAAAGCTAGTATAATTATAATTGTAATCAGACAAACTCTTATTCACGATCTTTTTAGCCTCTAGATGACACTATATTATGGAACTTCATATAATTTTATGTACCAACGGACAAATTATGACCTATAGTTTAGGCGTGAGGAGGGAACAGATGAACATTCATACATACCTACCGGTCAAAATCATAACCCCCCTTTTGGCTTCGCTTTAGTCGGGGTAAAAATGGATTTTAATCCAAATATTTTACGTATGTAGCTTGGAACTATGTATCCATCCAGCGGTTACTAGACGTTATTTTTAACCGACTTCAAAAAAAAGGAGGAGGTTATACGTTCGGCCGGTATGTTGCTTTTTTTTTTTTTTTTTTGTATGTATGTACGCGCATAACTCTGAGATGCGTGAAGCGATTTGCAAAATTTTTATTTTGTTGGAAAGGGTATACTCCCAAGTTGGTCCCATTTCCATGAGGTCAGGATCTGATGATGGGATCCTAGGGAAACCGAGGGGAACTTTCGAAAATTATATGGGCGAGTGATGCGTCTATTATGTTTTTCAATTAGGATTTTTAAACACTACAATTTGATAAGGGTCTGGAGTCGACCTGATGATGGAGCCGATAGACAGTCGAGGGAACTCCTCAACGGTATACAGTAACTACCTTGTGTTTAGGCTTGATTGATTTGTATTGATGAGGACTTTACACCTAGATAGAGTAGGGCTGTCATTAAGGGTCTGATGATGAAGAAGTGTAATTGGTAAGGGAACTCCTCAACGGTATACTGTAACTACCTTGTGTTTAGGCTTGTATAATTTGTATTGATTAGAACTTTGCACCTATGTAGATTATAAGTAACGAAACGGGTATATGTAGCTTTATACTGAAAATGATAAAATAATAAAATAAAAACTGCGTTTAAAAAACCGACTTCAAAAAACCAAAAACTAATAACAAACAAAAAGTCTAAACTAAAAAGCAAAAAATAACTATTATTAGTACTGATAGGTTACCCACCCACTGATAGGTTAGAAGTCGGTGCCATAAGCTCATATCATAATGATATATCTGTCCACAAAATTGTGAATTGTGAATTAGGTACCTATTAAGGTTTTAATGAATAATTTTGTATGGAACTTATGGCACCGACTTCTTACCTATCAGTGGGTGGGTAACCTATCAGTACTAATAATAGTTATTTTTTGCTTTTTAGTTTAGACTTTTTGTTTGTTATTAGTTTTTGGTTTTTTGAAGTCGGTTTTTTAAACGCAGTTTTTTTTTTTATGGAATAGGTGGCAAACGAGCAGACTGATCATCTGATGGTAAGCGATCAGTGCCGCCCATGGACACCCGCAACACCAAAGGAGTCATAGGTGCGTCGCCGGCCTTAACCAACAACAACAGTTATTAAGACAACTTAAACTCAGTCAGCTACAAATCCAAGTCTACTACTCCATTATCACCAATCGACCAACGAATCCAAAACAAATCTTAAGAAACAAAATAAATACAAAGAGAAATGAAAGTGTACCAGTACTAGAAGCGCGGGAACAAATCGTGTTAGGTGGCTCGGCGCCCCGAGGCAGGCCTTGTTTATGATCACTGGGGGAATAGAGGACGATGGCAGTCGATTCGTAGTGTGGTTTATGGCGGAATATGATCGATGGAGTAAGTTATCTGACCAGTTATAGTTTTAAGTTTTATATGGAATCAATAGATATGTTTTTTTAGTAATGTTGGCTATTGTAAATGAGTGTAAATGCTATTTTACTAGCCTCTGCCCGCGACTTCGTAGGCGTAATCCCGTTTTTTCCCGTTCTTTTTTCAGGATTTTTTATGTCTAAAGAACCTACTACTAATAATAACAAATACAACAAAAAATGAATTAGTGAAATCGGTCCACCCATTCACGAGTGATGCCGTGACCAAGGGAAAAAGGGATTCTTTTATATATTTATAGAGGTATAGATTGTAAAGATTAATAGTGTATGTATGTTTTGAATGTATGTACATTATCGACTGTCTGGTTTTCTAGTGAGATGTGAAACCAAACCATGATTTATGTATAGTCAGTTATCATTAGCTGTAGAATAAGGTTTTAAACACTCTGTATGCAGTTCACAGAAGCTGGTAGGTGTTATGCTGAGCGGGCCTGCGGACGGCGAGCATGGGTGACTCGCCGGCCGACCAGAACCAGGCCCGAGCGTACGGCGCATCGCGTTCCGCGCGCGCCTCAAAGAGCCATCAGACCACCACAGATGGGGCCTAACAAGGCTGATGCCGATACGGAGCCGCGGAAGACTTAACGGGTTGCCGGGGCTCCGGCTCGAAGTACAGGAGTAGGAACGGGGTGGTTTTTAGTCAGTAAGAGTCTGACAATCCGTCCCGCCTCACCCGGGCGGGAGAAGTAATTGGATGATTTTGCCCTCTCAAAAAAAAAAAATGTTATGCTGAGAGACCGCAAAAGAAACCAGTGGCTAAGACAGAAGAGTAAAGTCAAGGACGTCACACAGCATATCGCGAAACTTAAGTGGGAGTGGGCTGGCACATTGCACGCAAACAGGGTTCGTGGTGCAAAGCCGTGATAGAGTGGAGACCGTGGGGCGGAAAACGCCCACAAGGAAGACCCCAGATGCGTTGGTACGATGACATCAAACGAACAGCTGGCACGAAATGGATAGAAATTGCTCAAGACCGAAAGAGATGGCAGACACTGAAGGAGGCCTACACCCTAAGGGTAGAAAAAGGCTAAAGAAGAAGATGCAGTTCTGTTGTTAAGTTTGTACTCGTGTATTATATTGTTAAAAGATATGAGCTATAATTTTTTGACTGACTTTAAATAATAAAATAGATGTGAAAGTAGCAACACCAATGCGAGCGCCAACGCTAGCCAGTGAGCTGCGCGACATTACCGCGACCGCGAACTATGCTCATGAGGAAGAACCCCTTTGTGGTTCGAAACTAGTAGAGCTTTTCTCAGTATATTCACGTGAGTAACCCGCGATTTTCAGTTAATTTAGTATGTCTCACGATAGTTATTATAAAAACGTCAATATAAATACTTACAATTCGAATAGTTACGACTATTTTACTATAATATTATAAATGCAAACAAATTGTGAGTTTATGTTTATGTGTGTTATTCAACCACCTCAAAACGGCTGAAGGGATCGGGATGAAATTTGAAACGGGGATAGATTACAGTTTGGAATAACACAAAAGCTAGCAAAGCTTTTTATCCTAGCAAAGCTTTATTTAAGCAAGCATAACTATTAACTTCAAAAGTAGTAACAAGATAATTATCCTACAATACATCACAGACAGTCTTCACGTCAGTAAAACAATTGAAAACGCAAATTCGCGTCAATTTAAAACTCTGTGGAATTGTTCAATTGTGGGTACTGAAGCGTTAGACAGTTTAGGGCTAGCACATACATGCTACTTTTATTATTACGCCTTTTTATCCCCGAAGGGGTGGGCAGAAGTGCACATTTCGGCACTTAATGCTACTGTACAATGTAACACCCACTTTTTACCCGACTGCCAAAGAAGGAGGGTAATGTTTTTCGAGTGTATGTAAGTATGTATGTATGTCTTTTCCTTTGTGACCACCTGTAGCCTAAACGGCTTGATGGATTTTGATGTATGAGGTATCGTTAGATTTGTCTTGATTACGGGAGTGTCATAGGATACATTTTATCCTAAAAGTCCCACGGGAT